ACGTCTCCCCACGGCGCCCGCCGGTGCGGAGAACGTAAGTGCAGGGACCAGCAGCCCCAGACCTCCCACGCCCAGCGTACCACTCACGAAGCTGCTGGGGCGACGGGGTCTCACGGGAACGCGGCTGCTGCTGACGCTGGCTACCGCCAAAGCCTCCACGCTGCGCGGCTCCACCCCGACCAGCACCACCGCCGCCGCCACCTCCAACTCCGCTGCCACTGCCTCCACCACCGCTGCCGCTGCCTCCACCACCGCTACCGCTGCCTCCACCACCTCCACCGCCACCACCGACGCCCCCACCCCCGCCACCACCCTTGCCTCCACCCCCACCCCCTCCGCCTCCTCCACCGCCACCACCGCCGCCCCCGCCGTCTCCTCCACCACCCTTTCCCCCCTTGCCCTTGCCGTAGCGGCGCCTCCCACTAGGAGCAGACGCAGCCCCGACCTCCTCGGTGCCAACGAGGTCGACAGCGGCAGCAGAAGCAACAGAGGGCAGAAGGGGAACGGGGGAACACCCCTCAAAGAAAGGGGCGCGAGGGTCGCCGCGAGAAGCACCTACAGCAACTATACTCTTCTCAGCTGCAGTGAGGCGCTCCTCTAGCAGGTCAACGGTGAGCTCGGTGGGGCAAAGGGAGAGAAAGTGGTCCCTGACTGAGCAAAGGGAGTCAGGGAGACGGGTGACTAGGTAGAAGAGGGTGATGTACATGGGGCGGGGGTTCTTGGCGCAGAACTCGGAGGGAAGCGCAGCGCGGTAGCGGGCGTCACTAGTGCGGAGGTGGGTAATGAGGTCAGCGACTGTGGCAAAGGCGGCCAGGTCAGGGAACAGGTACGGTAGCATGAGGCGGCTGAGGGTAGCAGTGGCAGGGGAGGAGTAGCGCGCTACGACAGCGTCATACAAAGACTTAGCAGTCTTGTACTGGCCAAAGTGCACGCGCTGAGCAGAAGGCAGGTGACTACGAACAGCAAGGCGAGCAACAGCGTCACGAGTAGTCCACTGCGAGCGAACTGTACTGTCAGCATCAGCAGCAGGTGCAGCAGACGCGCCAGACGTGAGATCAAAAAGCGAGACTCCGTCCTTAGAATCGCACTGAAGAAACAGCTGCAGATCATCTACCCAGACACTGAAGTCAACTGCACGACCCTCAGCATCGAAGGTAAGAACCGTAGGGCTAGCCATGGCGGCAGTAGCAGCAGTGGCAGCAGTAGCAGCAGTAGCAGCAGAAGCAGCAGTAGCAGCAGGAGCAGCGCGGGCAGGGCAGCGCGGCTCAGTAGGGCAGTGCGGAGCGGCTCGGCTGGGCGGCGCGGCTCGGCAGGGCGGCGCGGCTCGGCCGGGCGGCGCGGCTCAGCTGGGCGGCACGGCTCGGCCGGGCGGCACGGCTCAGCAGGCAAGGCAGGTGCGCGGGTAGCGCGGGTAGGGTAGTTGCTCACCGGTGGCGGGTGGGGCAGGCGCACGACTGGCGGTTGCAGGGTAGGGCCGCGACGAGGCGGCTGCAGGTCAGGGCCGCGACGGGGCGGCGGTACAGCAGGGCCGCGACGAGCGGCTGAGGGCAGGGCCGCGACAGGTGGCGGCAGGGCAGGGCCGCGACGAGCGGCGAGGTCAGGGCCGCGACGTGGGGCGGCAGGGCAGGGCCGCGACGGGCGGCTGGGTCAGGCCGCGACGTGGGGCGGCAGGGCAGGGCCGCGACAGCGGGTAGGGTAGGGCCGCGACGGGCAGCAGGGCAGGGCAGGCGTGCGACGGCGGCTGCAGTTAGGGCAGGCGCGCGACGACGCGGGTAGGGCGGGCGCGTGAGCGCGCGCGTAGGGCAGGGCCGCGACGGGCGGCTAGGTCAGGGCCGCGACGGGCCGTTAGGGCAGTGCCGCTACAGGCGGCAGTAGGGCAGGGCGCGCGACGGCGCAGGTGAGGCAGGCGCGACAGCGCGCTTCGGGCAGGGTAGGAAATTCGTGGTGGGCCCTAAAAAAAACGTTCCCACTAGGGAACTGTCAGAATATTATGCTCTAGCCTGTAGTGGGGTGCTCTATAGCGAGTACAACCCTTCTAGGGTTTGCTATTTGTATCCTCATTCTTGCTAGTGCAACCCCCCTCTTTGCCTAAACTGTTTCTTGCCTAGCTAGGGCTTTCCTAGCTATGGCGCCTTCTTCTACTGCTTACTTTCACATGGTATCAGAGCGATATGCTCCTGGCCTGTGGGCCCCACCTCACTGCTTCCGCTGCTACTGCTACTCCCTGTCCGCCGCGCGCCCCGTGGTGCGCGGCGTCGAAATTAGGGTTTTTCAGCCCGCCGTGCGCCCCGAGGCGCGCGGCGGTTTTCTGCCCGCCGTGCGCCCCGAGGCGCGCGGCGGTTTTCTGCCCGCCGTGCGCCCCGAGGCGCGCGGCGGTTTTCTGCCCGCCGTGCGCCCCGAGGCGCGCGGCGGTTTTCTGCCCGCCGTGCGCCCCGAGGCGCGCGACGGGTTTCTGCCCCGTCACTCGGCGCGTCGCCCCCAGGAGGCGCTACGACGGGCGACGGGGACCCGCGCGTCGCCCCCCGTCGCCCGTCGTGGCCTGCGCGCGGCCCGTACAGCCGGCGCGCGGCCCGTACGGGCTGCGCCAGGCCCGCGCGCGGCCCGTACGGGCTGCGCCAGGCCCGCGCGCGGCCCGTACGGGCTGCGCCAGGCCCGCGCGCGGCCCGTACGGACTGCGCCAGGCCCGCGCGCGGCTCGGGCCGCCTGCGCGCGGTTCGGGAGGCTGTGCCAGGCCCGTGGGCGGCCCGTTCTTCGCTGCCCCTGTCCTCCCCGCTGTCCCCCGTGCTTCTGAAGGCGCCCCACCCCTCCTTCTGCCCGTTCTCCTGGATTAGGGTTTGGGGGTGGGGGGTATGGGGGTGCAGCTTCTGTGTGCCGTTCCCTGCTCCTCCTCCTCCTCCGTCTCCCTGTGCTGCAGCTGCCGCTGAAGGGGGGTGGACCTGTTGGAGCCGTCGGAGTGGTACTAAGGGGGGGTGAAGGGGGAGTGGAGCTAGGGGTGAAGCAGGGGGTGTGTGTCAGGGGGGGTGGTACTGTTTGGGGGAGGTTGAACGGAGGTTGCCGTTGTGTCGCCAGCAGCACCTGTAGTCCGGGGAGTTGCTCCGGTAGCCCAGTCGTAGCCACCTGTGCCAGTCGCCCGTGGGTCCGTTGCTCGTCTGCCGCTACTTTTAGCCGCGGGGCCAGTTACTCCAGTAGTCCGGAGCGCTGTTCCGGTAGCCGCTGTGCCAGTGTGCCTCCTGTTGCCCGTGTGTCTGCAGCTTCAGCCGTCGCCTCCTATCTCCTCTCCTCTCACTGTCCCTCCTCCTCCTCACTTGCCCGTTGTGACTACCACTAGCTTTGCTCATAATTGTGAACTTTAAACTATTGCTTCCTGAACTTGTGCTCAGAATGTGTGGTGACATTGTGATCCACCCTGAGCTTGTTCTGCTTTGCTTGCTCTGCTGATTACACCCCACTTTGGCTATGGGGGTGTGTCAGAATATTATGCTCTAGCCTGTAGTGGGGTGCTCTATAGCGAGTACAACCCTTCTAGGGTTTGCTATTTGTATCCTCATTCTTGCTAGTGCAACCCCCCTCTTTGCCTAAACTGTTTCTTGCCTAGCTAGGGCTTTCCTAGCTATGGCGCCTTCTTCTACTGCTTACTTTCACAGGAACCTGCTCAGAAACCATGTGAGAATAGAAACGAGGAATGGATGAATTAGCAAGCACGTGGGTACAAGTAGGAAAACCTAGAAGTGTTGTACCCCATATGAACTACCCCACTACAGCCTACACAGACTATAGCATATAAGTTTGACACACGAAGCCGTAGTGGAAGATGCGCCTAGCGACCAATCAGATGCCACGATTATCCGTCGTCCCCAGGCTGGAAGACGAAGATTTTCCGTCAATACCTGTTGGCGCAATTGGGAAAAAAAAAAAAGGTAGAGGGCGGAAGACCGATGGAAAACAGCGGACGTTAAAAGAGAGCGTGGTTAACGAAAGCGCCCAAGTTTGTCAACGTGCGGTTACCGTAAACCCTTATCTAACTTAGTTAGGGTCCGTGGGCCCGCTACTAGCGGTCTCAGACAAGGGCTCTAACGGAGTGGAACAGCATGCAAAAGTGGAAGAGTGGAGGACAGAGTTCAAAACAGAGCAGGAAGAAGGAACTAGAACGTATGTAGAATCGTGAGCTTGCTGTGCGTTCGCTGTGAATATGGGCTGACCAATAGCAGCACAGAAGTCTTCCAATTGTACGGGCTGAAGTCTGGGGTGGGCATATTCGCGAAGGTAGGGTTTGGTTGTGAAGTGTTGGTGTGATGACGTGTAGATAACGAAGGGTCGTGATTGGTTGTTACAAGATTGTGAATCTTCACACGTCACCTATGTTCTAGTTTGGGAAAAAAATGAAAACATTGTATCCACAATTTCAGTTTCGCTTGCTTTCGTGGCTGTCTACACTTTCGTGATTTGCGCACACCTGCACACTTGGACAATGCCACTCCGCATCACCTTCTGAAATCTTTCTTGACCGTGCGAAACCTAGGGCGCTGTGTTCACGTCACTTTGGAGTGACTGTTGGGCGCTGGTCTTCGCTTTCACACAGAAAGTTGCGAAATCGGGTCGTTGTTTTTTGGATACTTCGCGCAACATTTTCGCAATCTTTTCGCAGAAAAACATTCGGAGACCAAAAATCGCAACTTCCCTTTTTCGCGATGTGCTACGGAGCTGAGCTGAGGGTCCTCTAGTGGGATGATTCGAAAGTAGTACTAAATCAAAATTTGACGCTAACGCAACCAGGGAGTCTAACCATTGAAACTCCTAGCCCCAGGAATTTCACGGTCTCAGACTCAATTTTCCATTCTGAGCTCAGCGCCGCAAATTTCCAGGTCTCAGGATCTGAATCTCTTTTTCATATTTCCATTCACCAGCTCAGGTTCAGTTTTACGAGGTCGGAATTTCCAGATTTGGTTTTCCAGGTCCGAATTCCCTGAATTCCCGCATCAGGCCCGGATTGGTCAGCCAGTATGGGACTGCGGAGACGGCTTGGGTACATGCTTGAAAAGAGTCTGGCATACCACCGAGTGGTTTATGTGCCTCGAAGCACCTTTCTGCAAAAGTGAAGGCCAGGAAGCAGCGTACCAGGATCGGGGAGCTCAAAGTCAATGGCGCAACGGTCAGCGACAGGCATGGCATCCTTGAAGCAGCAGCAAAGTTTTTCGAAGGGTTATTCGGAGCGGATAGGAGGACTCACCGGTCGAGTTGGTCACCTGACCGTCGGTTGTCAGCGGAGGAAGCGGAAGGGTTGACTCAGGATTGGTCAGAGTCGGAGGTGAAAGATGCGCTTAAAAAGCTGGCCTGTGGGAGGTCGCCAGGGCTTGACGGTATCCCAAAGGAGCTTTTCGAACAACACTGGGATGTACTGGGGGAGGGCTTCATGGGACTGGCGCGTTCCTTCTCCGCCTCTGCCTCGCTACCTGCCAGCACCAAAGAGGCGGTTACGATTTTATTGCACAAAAAGGGGGACAAGGACAGCTTAAACAACTATCGGCCCATCACGCTTCTCAATTTCACGTATAAGGTCCTGGCGAGAGTGGTGGCGGACAGGATGAAGAAGGTGCTGCACCGAGTAATCTCCAAGGAGCAGTACGGTTTCATCCCGGGCAGAAGGCTGTCGGATGCGGTCAGCTTAGTCGCGGACATCATTGACGCGGCGAACAAAGGAGACAAGGACTGGTTCTTGCCGCTAGTGGACTTCCAAAAAGCTTTCGATTCTGTCTCGCGCGGTTTCCTCTTCGAAACCTTGGAGAAGATGGGGTTCCCTCCGCGCTTTGTGGGATGGGTGAAGGGCCTGCACAAGGAAACAAGAACAAGGTTGTTAATCAACGGCTGGAAATCGGATGCGTTGGAGGTGGTCTCTGGGGTGCGGCAGGGCTATCCCCTTGCCCCGTACCTTTTTATTTGCGCGGTGGAGCCCTTGGCGCAAGAAGCGGCGAAGAGACAGCTCGGCATCATCAGTGACTCGGGGTGGAGATTGCCGTACCTGGGCTACGCAGATGACACCACGCTCCTGCTGCAAGGAAGGGAGCAGATCGCTAAAGCAGGGAAGCTGCAACGATATTTTGAGAACATCTCGGGTCTGGCCACGAACAAAGAGAAATCGGTTGTCATGCCGCTGGGGAGGAACCTGGGTAGTCGCCCTTGGAGGCCGGATGGCTTTAAGTGGGCTGGCGCGGATGATGCGGAAAGATTGCTTGGAGTATGGATTACAGCTTCGGGCAACTGCAAACCGACGTGGGACAAAACGCTGACACGGCTACTGGGGGAGTTAGCGAAGTGGGAGCTGAAATTTCTCACGATCATGGCAAGGGCTGTTGTCATTAATGGTTACATCACGCCGATTGTGGTCTTTCAGGCCCAGGTTTACCCGCCCCCGGAGGATGTCTGGCGCAGGATAACGAAGCTGATCCATAACTTCCTCTCGGGGAATAAGGCGTCGGCGGAGGGTTGTTTCATCCTGTGGGGGAGGGACACGATCTTCGCAGAAAGAAGGGAGGGAGGAATTGGTGTGAGGGACCCCGGCATTCTGCTCGCCTGCCTGGCTGCCAGACGGACTGGTCTCCTGCTCACGGAGACAATGGATTTTAAACGAGACATGATGCTAGCGGCGGCGGGGTTGCCGCTGGGTCTGGACACTTTTCTGTCTCACGAGAAGCTGTTAAAACACTGGGTTGGAGGGAGCGACCGTTGGAAGCAAACGTGTGAGTGTTTCATGTCGTCGCCGTTGGCACCAGCCAGCACTCCTCTAACTGCTGGTGAGGTAGCGGCGGAGCGGCTCGTTTTCAACAAAGGGATCCTTCTCAACGGGAGAACGCCGGTAGGAGGGCAGCAAGCTGCTAAAGGGCTGTGGGAGACGCGGCTGGGAGACTTGGTGGAGCCAGCGGCGGACGGGGAGATGGTGGTCAAAAGCGAGGAAACCCTAGCAAGAGAGTTGGGAGGGGCGGGGCCTGCTCGGCTGGCTCTGAAAGGCCTGGCGGCAGCGCCTGAGAACTGGAGAGATACCCTGCTGGCTGCAGCGGATGGGAACCAGGGAGCAGATGTGCGGAACAATGTTGCGGAGGTTCCAAGGGCAAAACTGTTCCGCTCCCCTATTTTTCACCTCGGCCAGGTCGCCCCGCTTAAGCAACTGCAGTTAGCCTGGAGGAAGCGGGGATACTCGGCGCGAAGAAGGGAGAAATGGGCCGACCGGTGGGGGGGGACAATTGACTGGAGGCTGGTGTAAAAAAATCGGGACTCGCTCGCCACGCCTAGTCGCCCTCGTGACGTTTTAATTAGGGTACATAATTTTAACCTTCAGGTGGGGGAAAGACTGGCTTTTCTCAGTTCGAAGCCGAAGTGTCCTTACTGTTTGGAGGAGGAGTCCATAGAGCACTGTCTTTTCGAGTGCCCGACGATTCAGCCTGTGGTTGGGGCTCTGAGAACGGCTCTCCGGATGATCAACCCTGGGCGCACGATTTCTTCGCTGGGGGACCTCCTTTTCAAGCGAGCGGCGTCCAGCTCAGCATTTCCAGAAGCAACGTTGACTGCCATCACTATTCATCAGCTGTGGGTCGAGAGGTGTGAGTCAGCATTTCGGGACCAGAAGTTCAGGCTGCGGCGGGTTCTGTGGAGGATAGAGGCAGCTTTCCGGCTGCATGCGAGGATCTTCATGAAACACACGGGGGAGAAGTTGCAGAAAGATAAACTAACCGGGCAGAAGGTGACACGTGGAGGGGGGCCATCTCAGGAGTTGAAGCTTTTGGATCGCATCAGGGACAGTAATGCCAAGAAATGGACATGGAAGGCCGGTTTCGCGGCCATCTGGACACGACCGAGAAGGGGCGGCATCAGGCCAGGGCAGACACACTGAGGCGGGGTAATACCTAGCCTCCAAGCACAGTTACGACTGTTCTTGATTTTGTACACTTGCCTGTTCGGTGTATAAGTCAATTACCAAAAAAAAAAAAAAAAAAAAATGTGTACAAGTGTTGCCCAACTGCTGCGCGCGAATTTGCCCTGCAGCACGCGCCAGAAAGTCTGCACCCGTGTATTTTTCCCCATCCAGTTGCACCCACGTTACAAGCACTTCGAGCAAGTTGCAGTGTCTATGAAACAATAGTAACCACAGAAACCAAAGTCAAACTGAAGAGACCGAGGTCAAACAGTCAACGGGGAGTTACAATCTTTTTATAAGCCCTTTTTTGCTAGGTGCGAATTGACGAAACCTATGCGACGTGCAAGGTATGCACTAGCAAGATATGCATTCGTGAACATCAGCAGCTTGGAGGCAACCCGAACTAGCTGAGAAATCAGGGAGGGCTGGATGAAAATTGACCCACCCTGCGAGTGGTGCGTTGTGTGTCCTGCCCTTGTGACCACCCAGATGGATTGATGACAGAAAAACTCAGCCGTGCAACGATCCCCTGCAACACGTCCTGCTAGTAGCTGGAAAACGGGTTAGGGCTGAAAGACACATGAAGTGCAAAGGCAGCATCACCACGCGCAGCCGTGCCTGCGGCAACAGTGAGGCACTATAAGCCAAACAACAGCAGCAAAGCAAAGGTGGCAATAACTTGCAATGATGTGCAAGCGGATGGGGTGTGAGAAGTCCAAAGGCTGAAGCAACACTGGCTGCAGATAGGTGGGGTGTGCTGAAAGACTAGCTATCTACAAAGGCAGCAAGGAAAGGGACATGGGGAAGCAAGGAAAGGGGCATGGGGAAGCAGGGAAGGGGATGGGGGGAAGCTGGGAAAGGGACATGGGGAACCAGGGGAGGGCGTGGGGGGGAGCAGGGACGGGGACATGCGGAAGCAGGGAAGGGGACATGGGGAAGCAGGGAAGGGGACATGGTTTCGCATGTAAAGGGATGGGGGGAAGCAGGGATGGGGGGAAGCAGGGATGGGGGGAAGCAGGGAAAGGGACACGGGGAAGCAGGGAAGGGGACATGGAGCAGCAGGGAAGGGGATGGGGGGAAGAAGGGAAGGGGATGGGGGGAAGCAGGGAAGGGGACATGGGGAAGTAGGGAAAGGGACATGGGGAAGCAGGGAAGGGGACACGGGGAAGCTGGGAAGGGGATGGGGGGAAGCAGGGAAAGGGACATGGGGAAGCAGGGGAGGGCGTGGGGGGAAGCAGGGACGGGGACATGCGGAAGCAGGGAAGGGGACATGGGGAAGCATGTAAAGGGATGGGGGGAAGCAGGGAAGGGGACACGTGGAAGCAAGGAAAGGGACATGGGGAAGCAAGGAAAGGGACACGAGGAAGCAAGGAAAGGGACATGGGGAAGCAAGGAAAGGGACACGAGGAAGCAAGGAAAGGGACATGGGGAAGCAAGGAAAGGGACACGGGGAAGCAAGGAAAGGGACATGGGGAAGCAGGGAAAGGGACATGGGGAACCAGGGGAGGGCGTGGGGGGGAGCAGGGACGGGGACATGCGGAAGCAGGGAAGGGGACATGGGGAAGCAGGGAAGGGGACATGGTTTCGCATGTAAAGGGATGGGGGGAAGCAGGGATGGGGGGAAGCAGGGATGGGGGGAAGCAGGGAAAGGGACACGGGGAAGCAGGGAAGGGGACATGGAGCAGCAGGGAAGGGGATGGGGGGAAGAAGGGAAGGGGATGGGGGGAAGCAGGGAAGGGGACATGGGGAAGTAGGGAAAGGGACATGGGGAAGCAGGGAAGGGGACACGGGGAAGCTGGGAAGGGGATGGGGGGAAGCAGGGAAAGGGACATGGGGAAGCAGGGGAGGGCGTGGGGGGAAGCAGGGACGGGGACATGCGGAAGCAGGGAAGGGGACATGGGGAAGCATGTAAAGGGATGGGGGGAAGCAGGGAAGGGGACACGTGGAAGCAAGGAAAGGGACATGGGGAAGCAAGGAAAGGGACACGAGGAAGCAAGGAAAGGGACATGGGGAAGCAAGGAAAGGGACACGAGGAAGCAAGGAAAGGGACATGGGGAAGCAAGGAAAGGGACACGGGGAAGCAGGGAAAGGGACACGGGGAAGCAGGGAAAGGGACATGGGGAAGCAGGGAAGGGGACATGGGGAAGCAGGGAAAGGGACACGGGGAAGCAGGGAAGGGGACATGGGGAAGCAGGGAAAGGGACACGGGGAAGCAGGGAAAGGGACATGGGGAAGCAGGGAAGGGGACATGGGGAAGTAGGGGAGGGCGTGGGGGGAAGCAGGGACGGGGACATGCGGAAGCAGGGAAGGGGACATGGGGAAGCAGGGAAGGGGACATGGGGAAGCATGTAAAGGGATGGGGGGAAGCAGGGAAGGGGATGGGGGGAAGCAGGGAAAGGGACACGGGGAAGCAAGGAAAGGGACATGGGGAAGCAAGGAAAGGGGCATGGGGAAGCAGGGAAGGGGATGGGGGGAAGAAGGGAAGAGGATGGGGGAAAGCATGTAAAGGGATGCGGGAATGAAGGGAAGGGGATGGGGGGAAGCAGGGAAAGGGACACGGGGAAGCAGGGAAGGGGACATGGAGCAGCAGGGAAGGGGATGGGGGGAAGAAGGGAAGGGGATGGGGGGAAGCAGGGAAGGGGACATGGGGAAGTAGGGAAAGGGACATGGGGAAGCAGGGAAGGGGACACGGGGAAGCTGGGAAGGGGATGGGGGGAAGCAGGGAAAGGGACACGGGGAAGCAGGGAAAGGGACACGGGGAAGCAGGGAAAGGGACATGGGGAAGCAGGGAAGGGGACATGGGGAAGCAGGGAAAGGGACACGGGGAAGCAGGGAAGGGGACATGGGGAAGCAGGGAAAGGGACACGGGGAAGCAGGGAAAGGGACATGGGGAAGCAGGGAAGGGGACATGGGGAAGTAGGGGAGGGCGTGGGGGGAAGCAGGGACGGGGACATGCGGAAGCAGGGAAGGGGACATGGGGAAGCAGGGAAGGTGATGGGGGGAAGCAGGGAAGGGGACACGTGGAAGCAAGGAAAGGGACATGGGGAAGCAAGGAAAGGGACACGAGGAAGCAAGGAAAGGGACATGGGGAAGCAAGGAAAGGGACACGAGGAAGCAAGGAAAGGGACATGGGGAAGCAAGGAAAGGGACATGGGGAAGCAGGGAAGGGGACATGGGGAAGTAGGGAAGGGGACATGGGGAAGTAGGGAAGGGGACACGGGGAAGCAGGGAAGGGGACATGGGGAAGTAGGGAAAGGGACATGGGGAAGCAGGGAAGGGGTCATGGGGAAGTAGGGAAAGGGACACGGGGAAGCAGGGAAGGGGATGGTGTGACTATAGATGCTTTAAAGCATGTTACTGCGACAGTAGGAGCTCAGTCGCGACTTGCAGTTTCCTTTGTTGCAGTTTCCGTTATGCCCGTTACTGCACATGTATCGGTCTGAGTTTTGTCAGTGCCGAATCGGTGGACCGGAAACTCCGCAGTGAAACACGCGGGGTATTGCAACGAGAGCTGTTTGTGCTGCGGAATCTCAAGACACGTCGTGTCAATGAAGACGCTTGACCTGGTGACTATAGTAATCTATTTTCCCGTTGCCACCCTCTTACCGATTCTAATTGCGTCACGCTCGTAGTGCAGCTCGTCGCCCTATAAATCTGAGATCCTCTCTTAGTCTTCTCCCTGGCGCTCGCCGTTACCTCCCTCCTACCGCAATCGCATGCGTATTGTCGATTTGGTCCTGCGCACTATCGTCGTAGTTGGAGGCGTTGGGGTATTCAATCGCGTTCGTAAGTTCCACTGAATGTTTTCCTCACAGATACTCCGTCTTCCCCTATGTTTTCTTTGAGATCGTAGAGAGAGAGTAGGCCTTTCCGCTCGACACCTTGCTGCCATGTGAGTACGCTCCCACTGATGCTTCTCTCTCAAACTCAACAACCGGCATCCTTCGTGCTTTCCGTACGTGCCACGTTCAGGCTAAACGTTGCATTAGTCTGGGAATTACGTTGACTTCTCCTGCGCCGCGGTCTCACGTGCACGCTTAGCTATATTGTTGTATCACCTGCCGAAGGACAAGCATTGCTGGTAGTCGAGGGACCTACCAGTTCCTCCTGAGCACCATCAGGCACGTAGCATTACGTGGCTGGAGCTATCGTGTCGCATTTGCGGCTGGTTCCCTGTTTCTACCTACCACATGTGATCGCGCCAATCCATTTACACCGAGCGCAACACCCTGTGTTTTCGTTTTTCTGCTCACGTCGCGCCCTGCGATTCGATTGCACAGATGCATTTCTAGAGGGCTGATTGGCTGCGATGCCCTAAACCCAAGTCGCGAGCGTCTCTGGCGTTGTCGCCCTGCATCGCTAGGGGATTCCCCTTCTCGAGAGTGGGCCTCTCACAATTTCGCCCTTCAGTGTGGCATTTTCAGGGGCTCCAGGCTTCTCTTCCCATATTCTTGGAGAAGCCTGTCGCACAGTTGAGTGACGAATTCAAGGTTTGCTCGTTGTTACGAGTGCAATTGAGTGAGCGAACGAGAACCGCACTATCGAAGCAAGAGTACAATGAGCGAAGGCATGAGCGAAGAATATATAGCGAAACTACAGTGGTAACGGTAATGTGTGGAAAATGGGGTGCGCGACGGGCCTGGTGCCGAGGTTGGGAAAGTGTCGAGGCGGAGGTCCGGAGCGCGGGTTACCAACCGAACCGTGAGGTTGGGTCGCGTCGTGAATGGTGGCGGGAATGGTGTCGAAGCGAGTGTCGCGAGTGGTAACGGATTACTGTTGGGTGCTGTGGGTGGGAACAGTGGTGTACGCGCTGAGCAGGGACGCGAAGTAAGGAAAAGGAATTTTCCTTACACTACCCCCCTCCCCAAGGAGGCCCCTCTTACGAGAGCGCGTGTACATCTCGGAAGTGTCGGCTTCGCAGATACTCGGTGAGGACAGGGTGATTCTCAATTCTATCCAGGGGGACCCAGTTGTCTTCGGTGGGCGTGCGGTCCTTCCAACGGATCAGGAATTCGATTCTGCGGGCTCCCCGTGGGTCACGTACTCGATGGCTCAGTATTTTCTCAGGTGTGATGACCGGCTCAGTTGGTGGTCGGGTCATGCTGGCGGGGCGATTGCGGGGCGGTTGGCTGGTGGATGGCACGTATGGGCGAAGCAGGCTGACGTGGAATGACGGGCTGACGTACCAGTCAGCAGGGAGGAGGAGGTGGGCGGTGACGGGTGTGATCATGTGGCTGATGCGAAATGGCCCGCAATATCGGGGGCGGAGTTTCGGGGTGATGGGCAGGCGGAGGTTTTGGGTGTCGAGTAAAACTAGGTCGTCTGGCTGGTAAGTGACGGGGCGGCGGTGTCGGTCGGCGTTGCGCTTAGCGATGACGTTTGATTTTTTTATTGCTTCTGCTGCTCGGGTCCGTGCTGCTTGTAATATCTCTGCGAACTGTTGTGCGCGTGGGACTGGGTTGTCGGGATTCGGGGTCATGGGTACTGTGGGGTCTTGTCCGTAGTTCAGGTAAAACGGTGACTGTTGGGTCGTGGCGGATGGTGAGTTATTGTATGCGAATTCGATGAGTGGCAGTTGCTGTTCCCACGTGGTCGGGTCGTCGCACGTGGCCCGGATGAGCTGTTCCATGGTCTGATTTGTCCGTTCTGTCTGTCCGTCGGTTTCGGGGTGGTATGATGAACTGAATTGCAGTCGCGTGCCGAACTGCTGCCACAGGTTCCGCCAGAAGTTGCTGGTGAATTTCGTGTCTCTGTCGCTGATGATCGATGCTGGTATCCCGTGCAGTCGTACGACGGTGGCGATGAAGAGGCGGGCTGTTTCTTCGGCTGTGATTGATTTCTTGCAGGCTGCGAAGTGTGCCATTTTCGTCAGTCGATCGACGGCGACCAGGATCGCGTCATTCCCACTCGTTCCGGCCGGTAACCCCGTGACGAAGTCCATCGTCACCTGCTGCCAAGCACGCTCTGGGGGTGGGATCGGCTGCAACTGTCCTGCCGGCCGCTTCCGTGATGACTTCATGATCTGGCAAGTGGGACACGATGCCACGTGTCGTTGAACGTCGGTCAACATTTCGGGCCAGTAATAATACCGCTGCAGCTGCTGCCGTGTTTTCTCTACCCCGAAATGTCCCGAGGTAATTCCGTCGTGTGCCTCCTGTAACAGTAATTCCCGTAGCAGTGTGTACCCCGGTACCCAGATGCGGTCGGTCCCGGCTTTTACGTAATAGACTCCTTTTGCTGCTGCGAACTGCTGCGAATTTCCTCCTGTGAAGAATGGGTCCGTTTGGTATCCGTGGGTAAATAGTCCTGTCAGTAGCGGGCTGGTCTGGGCGAGTAGTATCGCGTGGATCTGGGCAGTGGGTCGGGTCAGTGCGTCGGCGATGTTCGAGGCTCCCTTTTTATAGGTGACCGTATAATGAAAATTGGACTCGAGGAAATCGAGCCAACGAATCTGTCGTGGGTTGAGGTGGGGCTGTGCGCGGAGGTACTGTAGTGATCGGTGGTCTGTCCGTACTGTCATGTCTGCGCCGGTCAAGTAACAGCGCCACACTTTGAACGCATGCACGATCGCGAGCATTTCGCGGTCGTGTATCGGGTAGTTTTTTTCGGGCGGATGCAGCTTTCGTGACTCGTATGCGATAGGCTGTAGGCCGTTGCCGAAATCCTGTAGCAGTACGGCTCCAATGGCGATGTCGCTTGCGTCTGTAATAACTTCGAAAGGGCGGTGTGGGTCAGCGATGCGCAGTACGGGCGGGGAGCAGAGGACGGTTTTCAGGGCAGAGAAGGCAGCAAGCTCTTTCTCCCCCCACGTAAAAGTGACCCCCTTTCGTAGCAGATCCGTCAGTGGGGCTGTTAATTGTGCCATGTCGGGGACGAACCGACGCACATAATTAACGAACCCTAAAAAAACTCTGCAGCTCCGTGATGTTTGTCGGGGGATGCCACGCTTTTACCGTGTCCAACTTCTTCGGGTCGATTTCAACCCCAGCCTCCGAAATAACGTGCCCTAAAAACTCTAGCCTGTCTTGAAAGAACTCGAACTTGGAACCCTTGGTCAGTAGTCTGTGCTCGTCTAAAACCTTAAATACTGCTTCCAGATCTGCTAAGTGCTGCTGCTTGTCCCGACTGTAAACCAGGATGTCGTCGAGGTAAACTATCACGCATTTATCTAAGAGCGGCCTAAACGCCTCGTTCATGGTCATCTGAAAAGTCGTCGGTGCGTTGGTCAGTCCGAATGGCATCACCGTGTATTCGAATGATCCGTATCTAGTCCTGAAAGCTGTTTTGGCGCAGTCCGATGGTTCGACCCTAATCTGGTGGTAACCTCCCCGTAAATCTATTTTCGAAAAAACCCGTGCTGTTCGCAGTTGGTCTATCAGTTCGTCGGCGCGGGGAATGGGGTATCGCGATTTGACTGTTACCCGGTTCAGTGCTCTGTAGTCGATGCACATGCGAAACCCTCCATCTTTTTTCGGTGTGAACAGTATCGGTGCGGCAAACGGTGACGAGCTCGGTCGGATGAATTTTTTCTCTAATAGGTAATCTAACTGCTTCCTCAGTTCGTCGAGCTCAGGTTGTGTCAGTCTGAACTGTCGCTGTACGGTTGGCTGTGCCCCCGGTTCTAACTCTATGCGATGGTCGTGTTGAGAAGAAACGAGGAAGAGAGGAGTAGGGACCCTCTATCGCCTCCGCGTAAGAGCGCGGAGTCGGGATGTCAAGTGCATCCGGGTCTCCCTCAGGGGTAAGCAGTACGGACACGAGATGAGGTGAAGCAGCAGCCAAACACTGGAACTCCTCCTGCCTGTCCTCAAGGACGTCCGTGCCAAGGGCACACTCACCCCCGACGGACGGAGGACAGACAGACTCAGACTCAACGACAAGACTAGCAGCGTAGTCTAGACGACAGCGAGCAGCAAAGTCGACGAGCTCAGCAACTAGGGCAGACGCAGCAGTGGACTCAAAGGAAGGGTCAGTGACGACAGTAGCAAGGAGACGCGTGACAGTAGGACTGGCAGCACGAAGAGAGTCCGACTCCGGGTCGGGAAGAGCAGGAAGAGAGGACTCAGGAGGAGAAGGCAAAGGGGCACGCAGAGGAGCAGTGGACGGACGCAGAGACATCCGGTGCGTGCCAGGGACAGGAGGAGGACGCTGACGCGAACCACGGCCACTAGTGCAAGCAAGACGGACAGGCGACGCAGGGCGAGACGCAGGCTCACGACGCTCAGCCAGACCTCCAGTAGGACCAGTGTAGGGAGAAGGAGCGGGCAGTGTGAAGGCCGGCTGTAACTGTAACTGGGACGGGACAGGCTGTGGACACTCTAAGGGAGGAGGAGGACCAGTAGAAGGCGGGAGACCAAGAACCTGCTGAAGGAGCGGAACGAAGTACGGCCGAGGCCGCGCGGCGACTCCAGACACAGCAGGGACAGCACCAGTACCCCCAGCGGCAGCACCAGCGCCAGCAGCACCTCCAGCTTCAGTACCTCCAGCAGCACCAGTAGCACCCCCAGAAGGACCGCCTCCAGGACCGACAGCAGTAGCCTCAGCGCCAACACCCTCAGCAGCTCCAGCTCCAGGCGTACCCGCAGGCCCAGCAGCTCCAGTACTCCCAGTACGAGCACCTCCGGGACCCGCGGCACCAGCACCCGCAGCAGTCGAAGAACCTCCAGCTCCAGCAGCACGCCTCCAGCGTCGGGCAAACCACTCTCGCAGCTCCTGTGGAGAGAGTTGGTCCCGCCGAGACGAAGCACCCGGAGAACCTCCAGGCTCAGCACCGCCAGACGCCACACGAGCAGGCCCAGCTCCCTCAGGCTCCGCACCCCCAGGCTCAGCACCTCCAGGCGTAGCACCCCCAGGCTCAGCACCCCCAGGCGTAGCACCCCCAGGCTTAGCACCCCCAGGCTCAGCACCCCCAGTAGTAGCACCCCCAGGCTCAGCACCCCTAGGCTCAGCACCCCCAGTAGTAGCACCCTCAGGCTCAGCACCCCCAGGCGTAGCACCCACACGCTCAGCACCCCCAGAGTCAGCACCCCCAGGCTCAGCACCCTCAGCAGCACCAGAGTCACCAGTAACCTCGACAGGCTCGACTGCGTCTACCTGGGACACACCTGAAGGGGCAGGACCCTGAGGGGGGAGGGGGTCTACCGGGGGGGGACCTGGCACAAGGAAGAGCGGTGGCGGGGGGAGGGACGGAGTGCGGTAGGGGAAGAGGCA